CACTCTCCAGTTGGTCTGGCGGCAGCATTGCACCCCTTGTATCACTCACATGTGTGTACAGCTTCTCCACACCGCTGAAGCCAGTCGCCCGCTCGTGGTGCTCCTTGATCACTCGGGGCAGCTCCTCGAGCGGCACCACGGGGCACCACCGCCACTCTCCGCTGCGCTTGACGCAGCGGCACAGGATGTCCTGACCGCCAGCGCCCTTCAGCACCTGGAAGAACTGCAGCACCTTCTTGCTGTAGTTCTTGGTGCCGCCCTGCACTGCCGCCCCCCCTCCTGCACCCCGCCGCCGCCGGCCTGAGGGCGCCTGCTGGTCGCCCTGCTTGATCCGGATGATGCCCTCTACATCTGACTTAGTGAGAAACACATTCTTGGCGCCGTTTTGGCGCCGTTCTAAGGCATAAAGGATGACAGGTTGGTTCATAATTTTAAATTTGCGGCAGCTGCGGGGTGCGGGAGGGGAGAAATAGAAGCCTTAGAGACTCTGAAAGGCGAAGGAAAGGGAGGGATCGCGGGAGAGAGCGTGCCTGATGAGCCAGACGAATCGGGGGAGGTGCCACATCAGCGGGCAACATGTGCACGTCCTGCTGGACCCTTGCAGAAGCTGGTGAAGCTGATGGGTGGCTCGCGTTTCAATCGGTTCATGCCACGCATGTTGGGCTGCGAGGATGGCATCACCCACGTCCTAGCAGGTGGGTGGGCTTGAGAGTGCATGTAGAGGCCCAACACCAGGGCCACAGCCAGGTATGTGGGTGGCTTTGCTTGCTGCCGTTAAATCATGTGGATGCTGCTGTCTTCTGTCTGGCCCCTCAGGCGAGCAAGGGGGCTCTGACTGGATCGCTGCAAGCAAGGCGGGCTGCGACGTGCTCAGCTTTGGCTGGCTGGAGCGGTGCTACGCAGAGGGGACGCGGGTGCATCCGTGGCCCTCGGAATACTTGCAGATCTCAGATGCCACGCTGCAGGTGTGCTAGGGCTGGTTGGGAGATGCTTGCTAGCTGTATGCTTGCAGCTCGGTAGGGCCCAAGCTCCCACCACCACTACCGAACATGTACCTACGGTGCATTTGCTGCTGTAGGCGTGCCTTGAATGGGACTGCTTTGGCGACGCATTGTTCGACGATGTAAGTGTTTTAGCAACCAGCGTCCTGCAGATGCGACCGGCATCAGCTGGTCGGGGGTAATCCTTGCTGCCCTGGCTGCTCCGTGCAGGCAACCGAAGAGGACGTGGCGGCGGTGCTGGGCCGCATGTCGGCAAAAGACTGCCTGACAGAGCCAATGCTGAGGGGCTGGCTGCAGGAGCAGCAGTCAGCAATCCTGCTGGCAGGGGGAGACAAGGATTGCAAGAGCAGCGTGGACGTGGAGCTGGCGAGCTGTGGCGAGCTGGATGGTGCCTCACTGCTGCATGGCTGCAACATTGCAGTTGTATGCCTGCCACCCGAGCAGGCGCAGCAGGCGGGGAGTGTTGCCAGGGTTGCAGGTAAAGCACCTGCTTCTGATGCCGGAGAGCACTTGCATGGAGGTGTTGAGACAATCAACATGGGCCCACGTGCGTCCTTGTGCCATTTGAAACAGGGTTGGAGCGGCTGCAGCAGGCGGCTGCCCGCACCCGCACCTCGCTGGCTCAGCATGCCGCTCGGAACCTGCGTGTGTTGGCGGCAGAGCATGGTGGCAGCTTGAGCAGCACGCTGGACAAACACACCACGCACCTGCTGGCGGTTCTGCCTTTGGAAGCGGCATTGCCTGCGACAGCATCGCCAGTATCTGCAACGGCATCAATTTGCCCGTTGGGACTGCTGGAGGCTGTGAGCCAGCAGTGTGGTGGTGCAGCAGCCGTGGCTTGCTTGCGGCAGCGGCTGATGGCGGGCCAGCTGGTAGTGCTGTCATCCAGGTTGGTTTTTCTGATCCTTCAGGTGTGCGTGGTGTGGCCACCCAGCTTTCAAGTTCATCAAGACCTCCTTTCCTGGCTGGGGATGCTGCAGGTGGCTGGAGGCGTCCTGCATGGCCGTAGATGAACAGAGCGACATGGCAGTTTCTCCTGCCGAAGAGAGCGGCTACCAGCTGCCTGTGCAGGGCAAAACACCGACAGGCTGTGCCAGCTGGCCCTGGGACCGGTTTGTGCATGCCGACTCAGCATTTGCAGCAGCTGAGCATACTGAGGCCACAGACGCAGAACCACAGTCTGATCCTGCTGCTAAGCTGGCTAGCGACAGCGGGCGCGGCAGGGGTGCCCAGGATGCAGTTGCCAACGCAGTGGCAGCGCCAACAACAGAAATGTGGGGCCGCGCAGTACCGCTGCCAGGGGTGCAGCCGGGCAGACCTCCACTGCCAGCATTGGGCAACCCTGAGATGGCCCAGCCATCTGCAGCCCCATTGCCAGACGGACCTCAGGCTGCAGATGGGGCAGGCAGGCGCCAAGGCGGCAGCAGGTTGACACGTAGTGGCGTGGCCAGCAGCAGGCCCACCGCACCTGCAGTGGTAGCATTACCAAGAGCTTCCTCAACGGCAGCAGCGGCACCTGCATTGCCAGCAGCTGAGACAGCTGCAGAAGGTGCGGTGGCAGCAAGGCCTCGCACTGCACCTGGCATGACATCCGGCAACCAGCGGGCAGCCAAGCGCAGCAAGTGCAACCAGCTGGCGGATGCATCAGCCGTGCCCAGCGTGGCACCACGTAGCGACGGCTGCCAGGCAGCCGTGGTGCCAGCTCCCACCTCCACTGATGCTACCTTGTTCCCTGCTCTCTTTAGCGATCTTGTCGGTGGTAGCTCATCAGCAGCAGCAGCAGATCAGCAGCCGGTGCCAACTACTGTGTCGTGCGCTGTGGCAGCAGGGCCTGAGACGTTGACTGTGGTGGTAGCAACGGTGACTGGCCAGGCACGCATGGTGGCGACTGGCCAGGAGAGCATGGCAGCAGCTGTTGTGCCGGCAGATGTACCGCTCGGGATACCATCGTGGCTTTCACCGCCCCATGCAATCCAGCAAGCGCGGCAGCAGTCTACTTTGGCGCCAGCCGACAACCTGGGGCATGTGTCTCTGCGCGAAAAGGTCCTGCTGGCGTGCAGCCTGCCGCACATTGGCCCGGAGTAAGAGACAGGCAGGCAACCCATAGATGCCTTGCTCTTGCATGCAACAGTAGTACGCTTCCGCCCGCCCCTTTTTTGTCTCTCCTGTGCTGCCGCCCCCTTGCGATATGCGCTCTCAGGCATTGTGCCACGTTCTCGCTGTGTTGATCCCATGCCAATGTGGAGACAGCATCCCGAAAAAACCTTCGCTCCTTGCATTCGTTGCAAGGGGTCACTGCACTGCTGCAGTGGAGTGTGCTGCACCGTCTGCTGGTAGACCTAGGGGGGTAAATCATCATCAAAGGATGGACCATTCGCACACCCTCATTCATGGTAAGGATGGGTGTGGTCATCCAGTGCTGTGCTGCACGCCATGGTAGCGCTGTGCTGCCTGCAGCATGTCTGACAGGAGGCACCGCAGGTCGGCGTCCGCAGCAATGTCCTCCAGCGTGACGTGCAACCTGTAGCGCCAGTAGTGCTGCGGATTTGTGGGGTCGTTGATCTGCTGGCGCTCAGGTGGGCAGTCGGGGAGGCGTGGTGAGAGGGGCAGCAGGTCTTGGAGAGGGAAGATGGCCAGCAGGCTTGGACTGTCCATATGCTGCTGCAAAATATGCTCCAACACCGCTGGCGTGCAGTGCCGCGGCGCCTCTCCCTCGCCATTCAACATCTGCATGCCAAGAGGGAAGGGATGCACCTGATATGTGAAACAGGCGGCGTCTTGTGCAAAAGCAGAGCTGCCTGAATGCCAGGGCCCTCTTGCTCTGTCCCTGCTTCCTCCTACACGCACACAGACCTCTTCGTAAAACTCCTGCCGCCGCTGCTTCTCCTGCTCCCACCATCCACGCGTGGTGGAGATGTCGTGTGAGGACGGGGAGGCCACGGTCATGTAGGGATAGGCCAGCGGGTCCCCAAACTTGACCCCCTCCTCAGCAGGCATGCGCTGGATGCGCAGGCCTGGGCGTCAAGGAGGGTGGGGTGCGTGGCAGCAGCTTTGGGTACAAGGGATAATCCAGGCGGCAAATTGGCAACTTGCTGGACCTCACTCACCGACAAGCTGTCACTACGTTTTGAGAAATTTGCTCAGAACCCACCCCATCACCCGTGATCACCCTCTTTGCTCACCTATGAGCCCCAGCTCAGCCATCACGGGGTGTACGCAGGCAGGGATCATGCCCAGATCCTCGCCACAAACGAGCATGTCAGTGGCTCCCATCAGCGCAGGAAGCGTGCGGTGCGACTGCTTGCGCCACAGTGCATCCTGCAGCACACGAACACTAGCGCTAGCCACGAAATGTAGAAGGCCGTCGACATTCCTGCGATGAGCCCAGGAGCATGGCCGTCTCTGTAAGTCACACTCCATTTTTGATACTCACCTGTCTATGGTGGTAGTAATCGTTGTGCAACCGCAGCAGCTCTTCCCGCCAGTGCTGCTCCAGTCCCTTGAAGCTGCTGGTAGTGTTTAGTGCAAAGCGCTGCAGCGTGCAGGAAGGGGGTGCCAGACCGTCTGCACGAGGGTTGCAACAACTGCTGCACCCACAAGAGTACAGGACTAGCTGCATGCGTGAAGTACCCATGCCCGGTGCCATGCAGCATTCCAATTGAGGCGCCTCACTGGATAGAAGGCATTTGGGTCCTCGTTGTCCCGCAGCAGCACCACGTTCTGCCGCAGTGTCAGCAGCCCCCGCCGGACATTGTCTGCCTCATCTGGCAACATGTCGGCAGCAAGGCAGCGCCGCACAGGAATTGCTGCCAGGGCACGCTCGCTGCAAATCAGGTGCACATTTGATTCAGAATTCCCCAGGCCAGGATGCACGCAGACTGGGATAATTCACATGGTTTTCACATGGTTGGTGACTTGAAGCCACGGTCGCCACACTGCAGCCAGCAGCACTGATGCACACCTGGCATATGCCTGGCGGAATCTGTACCGTCCTCCTGCCTGCTCCTGCAAGTACCGCGCCGCCACCTCCGGGGCCAGCTCGACACCAAACACATCTTGCAGCACCTGCAAGCAGGAGCAGAGCCAGGGCAGACTCTTCACTCGTAACAAGGGCGAGGCTTCACCCAGCACCGGACAACAACAGGCAACAGATGGTGGCAATGCATGCACTGCGCAAACCACTGCTCCCTGGCGGATAAGATGCTACAAGCTCTCAAGCAATTCACCTCGTCCGTGATCCACGGCTCGCAGAGGCGATCAAAATCCCAGATGCCGCGAGATTCCAGCTCCTGCAAACATGCCAAGGAGCCAGGGCAGCTGGCTGAATGCAGGACTCATGCGGCGCTACCCCCCAACATTGACTGGCTGGGGCATCACTCACGTTTCGTGACAGTGGTATCGAAGGCCTGAAGTGGCCCAGAATGCCGGAGCAGCAGTCGCCAGGGATCTCCCAAATGCGGAAAAAGCCCAGGATGTGATCAATGCGGTAAGCATGGAAATACCTGCAGGGCCAGGGCCAACAGGAGGCAAGGTGCAGCTAGTGGACTGGCACAAAGAGTCAATCAACACACAGGGCCGTCTTGCTGCTCAGCTGCTCACTCTGCTATATGTGCCAGGCGGCGGCGCCACCAGCCGTAGCCATCCTTGGCCATCTCCTCCCAGTTGTAGGTGGGGAAGCCCCAGTTCTGGCCATTGGGGTCAAAGTAGTCGGGGGGTGCACCTGTGAACGTGGGCAGGAGGGAGATGCCAGTTTGGCCTAGTGTTGCAGGCGTGGCCCATACGCATTGCCACTCACCAGTACACACATCCATGCGGAAGAGTTTGGGGCACAGCCAGGTATCCACGCTGCACTTGTCGACGCCTGCAGCAGGGTTGTGTACAAAAAATGGCATGCAGGTGCTTGCCGATGGGCGTACACCCCCGTGGCGTTGGCGAGGAACGTGTGCAACCTCCATCCCACCACTGCATCTCGATCCACGCGTGCATGCACACCTATGGGCAAATCGCCCTTCAGTGCCACATTGCGCGAAGCGGCGTACTGGCTGGCCTGCAGAAGCTGGCGGTGCAAGTGATATTGCATGTAGTAGATGAACTGGATGCTGGGATACCACTCTTGGGCTGGGCTGGATAACCGGTCAAGCATCTGCAGAGCAGCGTTCAGTGTCAGCATCACATTCATGAACGCAGCTACATAGCCGTTGCTGGGGCTGGCTGTGACGAGGCAGGCAGGTTGCCCGCAAAAACAGAAGCAAAAAAGAAAGGCGGGCAAACGCACCTCCTGTGTGGGCTGGCTGAGTGCGCCCCAACGCCAGTGCTCGCCAGTGCCAAAGAGGCGGGCGCAGCAAGCAGAAAACAGCGTATGGCTGCAGCCACTCCCAGTTGGCCTCACGAAAGCGCCGGAACCCCTCGCTGTCCAGGTCTGCAGAACCAACGCTGTCGAACACGGCACGAGCAATGCGCAGCTTGGCCTGCAGCAAAACAGCACATGGTTGGCAGCGGTCGCAGGGATGGATGCATCGAGGCCCTCAAAGGAGTGCAGCATTATTCAGGACTGACTCGGCAGACACAGTTGCGGGAGGCACGGGAGGAGAGCTGCTTCTGACAATGCCTGCTTCTCACTTCAATTGTACGCTCGTAGTCTACTCCATCCTCCAGAGCCTCCAGCTGCCGGCGTGCGGACTCAATATCTGCCGCAATATCATCAGGAAGCTTGTCTGTGGGCCAAAGGTGGGTTAGGCAAGGCCACATATGTCAGAGCTCATCAATCTGCAGCTGCATGTCCACCCGCTTGGTTTCCATGGCGCTGTCGGCACCGAATCACCTGATAGCGCTTGCAGGCGCAGATAGAGCGGGTGGAGTGCAAAAACGCAGAGCGATGAGTAGGGGTAGGAGTCGCGCCAAGTGCCTCGCACACTGGTGTCACTCACAGGCAGTACCTGAGTGGGAAGATGCGTGACTGAGTTGTGCGGGTGTAATGTGTGCCTAAGCCCCTTGCGCGTGCCACAAATGTGTTCCATCAACAGCACCGCCCCACCTGTATGAGACTGAACCCAGTGGCCGCACAGATGTCGACCAGTTGCATCAAGTCCAAGAACTCACCCGCTCCCACGCACTGCGCGCTGCAGAGTTGGGGTGGCAGGCACAGCAGGGGGCAGCCGCATGGCTGTTGCATCATCACCTGCCACAAACGCACAACTGGCTTGCAAAACAGCTTGGCACCCACCCTGGCGACACCTCCTGGCCCTTATATACGCACCTTTTTAAACTAAACACTGGCACCGCGATGCCTGCACCACGCCACCGCTGCTGGCGCCGGAAGCAGCCATCGAAGCGGACCACAAGGGCAGGACAACGGGCACCATCGTTGGCAGGGAGCGCAACCATGCGGTTCTCCCCTGCTTCGAGCTGCAGGCTGCCATCGGCGCGGCGGATGCCGTACTTGTAGGTGCACGGCAGGCTGCTGAGCGGCAGCCGCACCTGAGGGCAAGCAAAGGGTGTGTGCGTGGTGAGGTGAGGGTGCAAGAGGGAGAGGAAGTTCTGTTTAGTCATGGATGGAGCAGAGTTGGGCATGGAGCTGGGATGGTGACTGGGCTGCCGTTGCTGGCGGAAGCGACCAGCTGGTAACACGCACCTCAGCCTCCCAACAGGATGATGAGAGAGGGCTCATGGCCAGCACTTCCTGCGCGGCAGCAGAGCATGGGCCAGGGCGGCGAGGATGCTGGGGAGGGACGCCTTGGCTGGTATGCAGTAGCAGGTCCCTCTGGCAGCACGACAACGCCTTGCAGCAACTGTGTTTGCAAGGTGCAATCGGCAGATGCCACGGCTTCCAACCTGCAGCTGCCAGTTGCCCAGCTGTGCTGCGCCGCCCAGGATGCACACGGCCTCCCCCTCCTTCAGCTCGCCATCGCTGCAAGCGGAGGTACAACAACAACACAGGCAGCAGGCTCCCGGAACTCATAACAAAGCTAGCTGCACTGCCACGCTGCCAAGCGCTCATGCTTCAAAACAGCAAGCGATGCATTGTGCAGTTTACCGGGGCAGCGCCACTCACTGCACTTGGAAGCATGCCACGACCTCGTTGAGCAGTGGCTGCAGGCGCAGGACGCGGCCATTGCTGGCGGAGCAGCGGTTCCGCCAGACCACGCGTGCGAAGGCACTGCGTGCCAGCACCAGAGAGGGGTGGCCCTCATCCGTCCAAACTTCGTCTACATCTACAATTGCTCCGTCTTCCAGCCCCTCAGGCAGCACCACGGTGTGCCGCTCGCTGGCCCACTTGAGCACCTCAAACGCCTCGTTCACCACCGCCAGGCGGTAGCTGAACTCGGCCACCGCGGGGATGGGCACCAGCCCCTCCCACAGCAGCTCCTCACCGACATGTCGGCAGCTCAGCCAGTGCGCCCTGCAGCGGGCACATGGTGGTGCGGGTTGTGACAGGTAGCGCCAGTTGCGGCAATGCAAGCTTTGCGAATAGTGCTGTTCTGCACCATGAACATCAGCATTGCATGCACCAGCGACAGCAGTGCCTCACTTTTTCACGTCCCAATCGCCAAACAGGGGCCCCTCGCCGCACACCGCCACATGCTCGCCCCACTGCAGAGGCCGGCAGCAGTGCGGTACGGAGCAATGAGCAAGCGGAGAGGCAGGCAGGCGATACACTGGCCTGCACTATTAAACTCACCTGCGTCCAGTACGAGGTGCGAAAGTGGAGCAGAAGCGATCCATTAGGGGCGCGGGGTGACAGCCCCGCAGCACTTTGGTCAGCAGCGGTTGCGTCACGAGTGGGGGCGGGAGGCGGCGGCGCCATCGCTGCCAGCTCGCCTGCCTCCGCCTGCGTGTGGCCGCTTCGCGTTCGAGGCCAGGGAGTGGTCCAGCAGGTTCTTCTTTGGGTGAACGCAAGCAGCAATCACCCGGGAGGGGCGATGGCTTGCGCAGTGGTTGCCACTGCTGAGAGAAAGAGTGACGATCGGTTGATCACGGCAATGTTGTGACAGGCCACTGTGGGCGCCCATGGGGCCACGGGCTGCTGCCACGGCGGACTCGTTGTACACAATTCCCCATTTTCGCCCCCCGCCCTGCTTCAGCGGCTTGTCAATCGGCAATCATGACTGACACTGCGGAAAGTTGCTCCGTTGTCTTGTACAAGTCGCCTCCTGCTTGGGGCCTTCCGTCTCTCTCGGTGGCCTGCACGCAAGTGGAGGTGAGTGGGCTGCCATTGCAGCATTCCACCAACACTGGTATGCCCTCCTGGGGTCTCGGGTTGTCGGCGATCATGATGTGTCAGTGCTGCTTCCGAGGCGTTACAGCCCATCTCTCGGTGCTGATCGATGCCTTCTGATCGGCAGGCACGCGGCAGCCGAGGCCCCCCCCTCCTCTCTCCTCAGTCCCCGCCCGCCGCTGCCCCCGTCTCGCAGGCCTACCTGCGGCTCGGCGGCATCCGATTTGCGGTGCAGGAATGCATCACGCCCAGTGCCAGCCCGACCGGGCAGGTGCCTGCGCTGGACACAAGCGCGGACCTGGTGGGAACGGATGCATCAGCAGCATCAGCACCGCCGCTCGCCGAGTTTGGCGCGGCACGCACCATGGTGGAGTACTTGAAGGCGAAGGTGGGTGCCGCGGCTCAGTGTTGCAGCGGGAGGCAAGGGCGGCGGCGGGGAGCGGGGCGTCTGATCATCAAGGAGCAGCGCTGCCCCCGCGGCGGGCCCCATAGCCATCGGTAGGTGGTTGATACACGGTGATGCGGAGATCTCGCTGACCTCCTGACCTGCACCGCCCTGCCCAAATGCCAGGTGGTGGACCTGGACCGGGGGCTGACGGTGTCGCAGCGGGCAGAGGCGGCAGCCTTTGCAGCGCTGGTGGAAGCCAAGTTGCAGCCCGCCATCGCTTTCACGACGTGGTGCGAGGCGGAGGCTTTTGCACGTCACACGCGGAGCGCCTACAGCAGCGGCATGCCCTTCCCCCTCTCCTTCTTCATCCCGCGCTCGCAGCGCAAGGCAGTGCTGCATCACTTTGCGGGAACCAGCAGCAGCGAGGTGTACCAGGCAGCGGCAGATGCACTGGATGCGCTGGCGGTACGGCTGGGCAGCAGCGCAGGCCCCAGCAGCAGTGCCACCGACTTCTTCTTTGGTTCGCAGCCCACCAGCCTGGATGCGCTGCTGTATAGCTGCCTGGCCTACCTGCACGCCGCCCCCGTTGTGCACCCGCAGCTTCAGCGAAAGCTGATGGGCCACCGTGTGTTGAGCGCCTATGTGGATCGCCTCTCGCTGCTGGCCTTTGCCACCAGCGTGCCTGCGGCTGCAGACGCGCACCTCGACTGGAGTGCCTGGGGCGGCACACATGCAGCGGATGACAAGTGAGTGGCGCGCAACATTCCAGAGCAACCTTGAGCTTGGGCCTAGTGCGTGCATCGCTTCTGCTCCATGTCATCACAGACACACATCTTGCTGCTCATGCAGGTTTTCCAAGGCGAGGACAGAGAAGGAAAACGAGCTGGCGCGTAAGGGGCGGCGCTGGCTCGTTTGTGCGGGCGCCGCCATCGCAGCCTACATTTTCCTCAGCGGGCAGTACATTCAGCTGGGTCTGCTGTCAGGCTACGAATACGAGGAGGAGGAGGACAACGACGAGTGACGGGAGGGTGGGGGGGGGGGGGGGGGGGTCGGCAGTTGTGGCGAGGGGCTCAGCAACCCCAGCGCGATATACAGTTGCGTCAACATGCAAAGCATTTTCAGACGAGTCTGCATCGGATTGCGCCAGCTGGCGCCAGGATGCTGCAGTTTGCAAATCGGTCGTACGAGTCAAGACGAGACAATAATTGCGTGCACCTCCCCAGGGCGCCCCTCTGCTCGTGAGCAGAGAGACGGTCTGCTTACCAGAGATGGCCGATTTTCTCTGCGCCTTGCGCTCTGTTGCTGCGCTCGCTCCCTGCAATGCCAGGGCGGCAGGGCTGAAACGCAGCAGGAGCGGCAAGGCGCGCCGCCTGCGGGTACTGGCAGCTGGGGGCCCTGAGAGTCGGGCTCCCGAGGCGCGCCAGTTCGTTGCATTCCAGGGCAAGGTGAAATCTTCCTTGCCGAAAGTGGAGCAGGGGGCCACTGAGAGTCCCAGGTGCGCGCCGAGCCACCGCCGCCGCCCCAGCCTACCACGTGCACGCACACGCCGGGCGCAGGCGGGCATTTGCGGGCTTGCGCCACGTCATGCATATGCCTTGTGCTGTCCAGCACTGCTCGTCTGTGTGCCTCGCCTGCAGGTTCACATCCACTGGCAGCAACGGCTGGAACGTGGGCCCTGCACCCGACCAGATGCGGCAGCAGGAGCGCCAGGTGCTGGACGCCTGGACCCAAGAGCGCCTCCTGCAGTTGGCCGCCGGAGTTACGATGGCTCTAGTCTTGCTGCTGTTGTTTGCCGCGGGGGGGCCACCGTCGGACCCGCGATGCACGCTGCCCTGGTGCTGACGCACCGCCGCGCCCATGCCTTGCACTTGGTTGGCACCGACCGAAACTTGGATGGGTTACTCCGTTGTTTACAGAACTGCAATGTACCACTACATAGGAAGGCAGCAATTGATTAACCGTGTCGTCCAAAATCTGATCTGAAACATGCTGTAAGTAAAGGTTTTCGGTCTGCGACGGTGAGCGAGTTGGATGATGAACAACCTGGACCAAGCGTTGACTCGGTTACAGATTAAGGACGGAAACATTGGCTGGATCACGGAAGAGGTCGGCCAGCGTCGGGAATGCACCGGTGCCACCTCCAGCGCTGCCTGGGTCCCCGCTGAACCACGCCTCGGAGGCGTCCAGCCGCAGCAGTGCGCCAGGTGATGGCTGCAGGCAGGAGAGGAGGTACGCAAGATGTCGGCCAAGTTGGCAGCCAAGGCCGGCGGCAGAGACAACGCCAGCCGGCAGTGGCAACCAGCGTACCTGTGCTAGGAGCGCAGGCGATAACCTGGGTGACTTGCGGCTGTTGCCGACAACACCTCCTGGCAGCGTCTCGGCAACGCCTGCCAAACCGGAGCCCACTGGTGCAGGCGGCAGCGGCGGTGGCGGCGGAGGGATGCCGCCATGGCCACCGTGCAGCATGTGGCCGGTAAGGAAGGGCAGCGCGGGCGAGATGCCCATGGGCGGCTGGACCTCCCACAACATGCCAGCATCAGGAGAGGGCGCTATGGAGGGCAACCTTCCAAAGGGCGGAGGCGGCGGCGAGGATGCCTCGCCCATTTCATCCTCCACATCCTCACCCCCCACCCTCATGCCGTGATCCTCCTCGCCACTGCCAGCTGCTGCGAGAGCTGCCCCAGCACCCCGCAGCGCAGCAGGCCCCTGCTCCATTGCTGCCGCTGCTGCTGCTGCTGCTGCTGCATCTCCGGCCGCAATTCTTTCTCCTGGCTGTGATGGCCGCGCCAGGAACTTCCACACCTCAACCGGCTCACGCTCGCTTTTGATGATGATCCTGCAAGTTCAAGTGGGCAGGCGGGAGCCGACATGCAACAGCAGCAAAGGGACTGGAAGCATGCAAATAAGCAGGCAAATAAGCAGGTCCTGCAGCGTTTTGAACAGCACCCAACAAGTACGCCTAGACACAAACCTGTATCGCCGGGCGCCCTGCGCCAGGCCTGCTTCTGGCTCTGGCACCTCCAATGTGGTGCCTTGAGGCGCCAGCACAGCCACCACCTGATCGCTGGCGCGCATCGGTGGCAGCGCCATCACATCGGAATCCGTGACATACAGGCGCTGGCGGTTGAGAGCGTGGTCTGTCATTCGCCGCATGGCGCCCCACAGCGATGCTAGCTGCGAGTCCAGGCCCGACTCCGCAGACCGCATGCCCTCCAACTCGCTCTGCAGGGCTGCAACTGGCGCTCCCTCCTCGCCCTCGCCGCTGCCATCTGCGCAGCGAAACAGGCAGCAAAGCAGTGGTTGGTGGCAGCAATCCCGCACTTGCCCCTGCTCTGCCACTGATCGATATTATGGAGCACCCAGGCATGCCACTGTCAGCTACATACACCCAGGCAGGAGGCCCCTCCCATCAGCTCCCTGCTCCAGCCGCACCTGCACCTGCTGGCGCCCGTCCACCGCTGTCGCTCCCTCCAGTCGATCCCTGCTGCTGCTGGTCCTGGCCGCTGCTGCCTACGCTGTGCTGCGGTGCAGTGAAGCGCACGTTGTTCTTGCCGCATTTGCCAATCAGGCCGATGCCCTCCAACACGTTTGTGATGTCATAAATGCGCCGCTTCTGCACATGCAGCGCCTCGGCCGCCTTGTTGAGGTCCAGCACCCCTTGCTCTGCCTCCTCCATCAGCCCAATGAACTTGCGCGTCAGCAGGCCCAGGCTGGAATCGTAGCGACAGCCTGTCGCGGAGAGGAGAAAGCAAACCGCGGGCCGTGAGTGATGGCATCGCCACGAGCAGCAGCAGGGTGCCCTGCCACAGCGGTGGTGCAGGTGGCGGGCGCTGAGCCTGCGAGACCGTGCCGGAGGCTGTGGTTGGCGCTGCAGGTACCGCCCGGAACTCCCGCTCGAGTGCCCCACGCACCTGTGGTCTGGCTGCCGCCAGTTGCTGTGCCGCTGCCACGCGCCGGAGAGCGGGAGTACACGCCCTGTGCGCTACGCCTGCCGCGTCTTACGGCCACGGAGCCAGGCTCTTCCTGCAGCAGACGGCAGCAGCGGCGGCTGGCGGCGTCAAGCCCGGGGTGCCTGGCCAACCCCATCCCGGCGTGCTGCTGCTCTGAACCGTGGCCCATGGCGCACCTGTTCCTCTTCCTCTGGTGAAGCCTGCAGGCGGGGCGAGGAGCAGCAGGGTAGGGCTGAGGATTGGTCGCTGAGCTGCTTCATTGGTCGCTGAGAAGCAAGGCTTTACACCTCCGCATCCCGTCCCTACACCCACCTGCCGCGCGGCCCTCGTGGTGCGCCCCATGACCAGCCGGGGCTAGGGTTGAGCCTGCGCGCCCCGGTGCAATGCTGGATGCCAGGAGGGCACCTTCAGAGGGACGGTGATGGGAGCTGCACTGTACAAGCAAAAAGATTGCAATAGCCACCTCAGCCGGAGGGCCCCCGGTGTCACGAAGTCCGACAGTCGGATCTGTGCTAGCTACAGTCCCACAGTGCCCCTCCGATTGAAGCGGACCTCCCTGTCACGTTGTGGGAGAGGGTCCACCGATGGCCAGCCCACGACGCTGCCAGAGCTTGCTGCTGGCCCTGGCGATGGCCTGCTGCCTGCAGGGCACCCAGGGCCTTTGGCCCAAGCCGGAGGCAGTCACCAAGGGCTCTCGCACTCTGTGTGTGTCGCGACACCTCGCCTGGGTGTCTCTGGCTACAGCAGCGACATACTGCTTGCTGGTTTCGACAGGCAAGTGGCTGAATGTGTGAGGGGAGCACATCTCAGGCGCGCAAGGTGCCCAGGGTGCCCCGCGGCGGCAGCGGCGGCGGCAACCACGGCAACCGCGTCATTTTGCGCGTGGCTTGCAGGTATGCGTCCATCCTGAAGAGCACACCGCTGGGCATTGGCGACAAGGATGACGTGATCAGCGATGGCTTCGCCTACGCCCTGGAAGTGGAGGCTTTGGAAGAGGAGGCCGAGGCGGGCCAGCAGGAGCTGCGCAAGGAGCGGCGGCACAAGCGGTGCCACGTCATACGCACAGTGGAGGTCAGCGTGACTAGCAGTGACCAGTCGCTGACGCTGGAGACGAGGGAGAGTTACTCTCTGAGCATCGAGGCGGGGGCCATCCAGATCCAGGCCAACAGCGTCTTCGGTGCGCTGCGAGCCATGGAGTCGCTGGCCCAGCTGGTGCGCCGCCGCATGGTGGAGGAGGTCGAGCGCGCCGCTAGCGGCTTCAGTGCCGGCAGCGAAGTGCAGGAGGGCTTTGTGCCGGAGGAGGCAATGTGGGCAGGTGGGCAGCATGGCGTGTATGTCTTACATCCCTTGGTTTGCCTGTTGCCGGTGTTTGGTGTGGATTATGCCGGAGCAGGTAGAGAGGTCTAGTGCAACTACCATTTCCAGCCAGCTTGCTGCGGGGACTTCTCATCCCCCCCCGTTGGGTTGCAGATTCGGGATCTAAGTCTGGCAAGGCCACTGGCACTGGTGCGACTGAACCAGAGAAGCCGCCCCATGCCACTGTGCTGCTGGTGGATGAGGTGGACATCTACGACGCGCCGCGCTTCCGTTACAGGTTGGTTGCCGGGCTGCCTCGCTGCAGAAGGCAGAGTGGTCGTCGACAGTCTGTCAGGGTTGCCTGAAGAATGGCCTCGCATGTCTGCCTTTCCCGGGGTTTGCCTGTTTGCAGAGGCCTGCTCATCGACACCGCGCGTCACTTCCTGCCGATATCAGTCATCAAGGAGCACTTGGACGCCATGGCCATGGTGAAGGCAGCCGCGCCATGACAAAGCGCTGGCACGTCACGCGGCTTTGCCAGGGCGGTTTGCTGAACCCAGCCTCCCAGACCCACACAAGCACCCAGTATCGTGCGCCCTCCCATGCCTCCTGTCACCTCAGGTGAAAATGAACTGCCTGCACTGGCATCTGACTGACGACGAGTCCTTCCCATGGCTGTCCGAGGAGCTGCCTGAGCTGGCAGGAAAAGGTGCGTTTGCCCCGGAGGCAGTCTACACCAGCAAGGACATCCGCGAGGTTGTGGAGTATGCTCGGTTCCGCGGCATCCGCGTCATCCCGGAGCTGGACATGCCTGGTGGGTGGGCTTGCCTGGTGGCGGAGCCGGCATGGTAGCTAGCGGGCCTGTTGGCTCGTTGTACCTTTGCACATTGCTTGCCGCCTGCCCCTTTCGCCTGCCCCTTTTTTCAACTGTGGGCTACAGTACCCTGCAGGTCACACCCAGAGCTGGGGCAAGGCTTACCCAGGTCTGCTGACCCAGTGCTTCGACACCGACACGGTGGAACCCACGGGGCGGCTGGGGCCCATCAACCCCGCTCGCAATGAGACATTTGGGTTCATCTGGCGCCTGCTGCGGGAGGTGGCGCGCACTTTCCCCGACCCCTACATTCACCTGGGAGGTGGGAAGTGTGCACCCAGGGAATTGTCTAATATGTTGCCTTGGCTTGAAAATTCACAGCTATTGACTGCTGCGGGCCATGCAGGGGATGAGGTGGATCATGTCTGCTGGAAGGTGCGTGCAGGGGTTGCGGCAGGTGCAGCATGGAGAGTGATTGGATGGGCTGGAGCTGGGGTCTGGCTCATCTTCGCGCCATTGCCTTCCCATGCCCGCCCGCCTGCAGAGCAACCCTGAGGTCCAGGAGTTCATGCAACAGCACGACTTTGCCTCCGTCGCGAAGCTGGAGGCTTTTTTCATGGCACAGGTGTGTGCAGGGGTGATTGTATGGGGGTGCGTGAGGGTTTGTCAGCAAATTTGGGTTTGCCGGCGGCAGGTTCTTGTAGCGGGGTCCCTCTTGATCGTGCCAGGGCCAGAGCAGCCGGTAGTACAGAGCAGCCGTCGCACATTTTGCTCCCTCCAACCATGCCTGTGAGAGTGCGCCCATTTGCCTGCGCCCTGCAGGTCGTGCGCCTGGCCTCCACCGCTGGCAAGGCAGCCATTGTGTGGCAGGTGAGCCTGTGGTTGGTCGCGAGGGGGCATGCCTTGCACGCCCCCACGGCAATGCCCAGGGCCCATGGCAGGTGGACGCCTTCCTGGCCGTTGATTTGCTGGTGTGCAGGAAGCGTTTGATCAAGGCGTGCCACTGCCCCCCTACACGCGCGTGCAAGTGTGGAAGTGGTGGAAGGAGCAGGGCCAGGAAACAAAGCCCGAGGCAGAGAGCAGCAGCGGCAGCACCGGCGGCGGTGCTGCAATCAGCATGCGGGGCAGGGCTGCTGCAGGTGGTGGAATGGCTGCTGCCCGGCGGCGTGCCCTGCTGGAGCACCCTCAGGGGAGGTGTGACCCGGGCTTCGGCTGCGAAAATGCTGCTGGCGACGACGACGCATGGAAGGCGGAGCTGCAGGCGGTGACAGGGCACGGGTATGACGCCATCCTGTCCGCGCCCTGGTACCTCAATTTGGGAAGCTACGCCGGGCAAGAATGGCAGCGCTACTATGCAGTTGACCCAACAGACTTCCAGGGCACCACAGAGCAGGTACCGGCAGGGGAAATTGACAGCAGGGAAGGAGCGCGCCGGTGCTGAGCAGCTGGTGGAAGAGCAGACTGGCGACTGGCACTTCTCTTCTGCCAAACGGGGAGCAGCCATGTATTGTGCTGGCTGCGTGTATGGTCCATTCCCCAACTCGCTCACCTACTTTCACCACCTGCAGAAGGACCGCGTGTTGGGGGGCACCGCGTGCGCCTGGGGAGAGTTCATTGATGCTGTCAACTCGGTGAATCGGGTTTGGCCTCGTGCTGCTGCGGTTTCAGAGCGCCTGTGGTCGCCTGCGGATGCAACAAATGTGGACGAGGCGGCGGCTCGCCTGGCAGACTTGCGCTGCCGCATGCTGTCGCGGGGCATTGCGGCGCAATCCACAGGACCTGGGTTCTGCCCTGGCGAGTTGACGACCCGCATGTGAAATGATGGTGGTGGAGACCGGCAGATTTGATGGATCAGTACTTTGGAACTGAGTTGTTACAGCTTGCCTCGCTCGCTGGAAATAACGTCTTTTGTCAATATGTGTCACTGGATCAGCTGGGACATCAGGCTGGACGCTGTTGCAGCTTCTGCTGTCCCGCCTTGAGCAGTCGTTGGAGCAACTGCTGTGCCCCCTGCGCTGCGACCTGGGCGCCCGCCGCTGCCTGCTGCAGTGCCTGCTGCACGCCATGCGCTGCCTGCCCTGCCGCATGGGCGGCACCTTGAGATGCTTGCGCGGCTGCCAGCTTCGCGCTTTGCATGCCCACAGCTGCCTGCCGCGCAGCGCGTTGCGCACCTTGCGTGGCGTGCTGCACCAGGCCCTTTGTGTTTGATGGTCGAGCAGCCATATCGGCAGCAGGTGTGCTGTCAGGCGCTGCTGCTGCTACTGCTGCAGCAGGAGAGGTTGCCAGCACTTCTGCTGATGCGCGCTGCTGCTGCTGACGCTGATGCCGCCGGCTCTTAGCCTGCAGTGCCGTCGCCGCCGCCGTCGCCGCCGCCTCCTGCGCTTTGGCGGCCGCTTCATTGATCGCCCCGCCATCGCCCAGCTGCTACATTCAGGTCAGGGTGTGTGGGTAACAGGCAACCATTGTGGATACTGCCGAGAGTCCAGATGGTTTGCCCAGTCAGTAAATGCGGGTGCCTACTCCATATACACCAGCTGGCTGTGCCCTCCTGATTCAAGCCGGGCACCAGCAGCGCCCCCAAAATGCGCACCTCAAACACTCGAGCCATCTGTGCCGCCGTGTCCGCCTCTGCCGCCGCCGCCCGCGCCTGCTCGATGGAACACCCCATCACATCCCCCACCTGTGTGTGCGCGAGGGGAAGGGTGGGAGGGATGTGTGTTGGGCCGCTGGGGTGGGCAGGTGTGACTGCTATGCCGAGCAATGTGCATGGCTCTTGCATTGTCAATCAGCGGCACCGTGGGCTCACCCACTCATCGTTCACAAACTTCCCCTCCTCAGCCAGGTAACCGCCCGAGGGCTGCTTGGTGATTTTCACGCCGCAACCATTCATCATGCTGTTCCTCCACTGCCCGCGGTATACACTACCCTCCTGGCCCCATACATACACGCCAAACCCGCTCATGTTGTTCTCTTCAAACTCGCCCTCATATCTGCAGGGCAGAAGCAGGAACGGCGTCATATCATGCACGACACTGGAGGCGCAGCCGTGCTCCTGCGCTGATCTCAATCCTCTCTGGCTGACACCAACGCACCTGTCCCCATTGGAATACTTGAAAACGCCTCGCACCTGCAGGCAGCAAACAGGGCAGCCCGTAGCATTGCTGGCAAGGAGCAGGGCGGAGGCAAAGGAAGGCAGGGCTGGTGGCCGCGGCAGGCATTGGGGATGAGCGCACGTGGCACTTATCGTCCTTGACCAGTCCTTCGAACCTGCAGCGCGGAGCAATAGATGCAGTGATGGAGATGCAGGGGTTGGTGCCGAGCGGCGCTTGGTGCCGAGCGGCCGCTGTGAGGCTGCCCTGGCCACCAGCCACGACTCACGTGGAGTTGTCGGGCCACCTCACGGACTGCCACTGCACCCGGGGCTGCAGCCAGACAAGTTGGGAGCAGGGGGAGGGATGTCAAGAGAGAGGGGGCTTTGGGGTTTGCACGAGCACGCCCGCCCGCCCGCCCGCCCACCCACCACGGGTGTTGCACAGGGTGCTGCACAATTCCCGCTATTTGCACCCCCCCCCCCCTTCGGCCGTCGGTTCGCAGCACCCCATCTGCGGGCTACGCCAGGCTGGGTGGACAAGCGCCGGTCCCCTGCGCTCGAGCCTGTTCACAAGGGCGGATAGGCAGCAGTGACTTGCCTGCGGCTCCTTCATGGTGATGGTTGATGGTCGGAGGGAAAGCAGAATGGCTGAAGAAGAAGACGGAGAATGGCAAACCTGTGGACTATGGAAGGCTGCAGCATGTGATCGGCGCCGTCGGGAACACACCACCGCACTCCTTGAGCTATGTACCAGGCCGGTTCATTAGTGCCAAACTGCTGCTGTTCCCGCTCCACCGCACTGGCACCCAGCGGCCTCGGGCAGCTCGCTGCACAGCTGGTGCCTAGGATTCCGCTCCCCAGCGCCCATCGGCGACGAATGCACCACGCAAGCTTCGATTGCGCAGCCGCCAGCGCCAGCGCGCCGCCACCCAGCACGCCGCCACCGGTGGCCGCCACGGATCCGCTCTGGCTGGAGATTGTCAAGCGATATGACGCTGCACAGCGGGATGCTGCTGCGGTTATGATGGAGACCAACACAGGCGAGGGGACCACTGATGCATTGCACAATGCATTGAATTGCACGATGCATTAAATGCCTCCAAGCAGCTCCAGCGCGCCGCTGCTGCAGAGGTGGTGCAGGATGCCGGTATCCAATTTGTGCTGCGCGTGGCGGCTCGCCTGCGTGACAAGCCCAAGCCCCCCGCCGCCTGCAGCAGCAGCGGTGAGCTGCCCACACTCTCGCTGAATGCAGGAGGCTCCTCGCTGGCGTGCTCCCCCCCACTCTATGCTGGCTGTTGCCTGGTGCAGGCATAGCAACAGAGTGGCGCAACCCTTTCCTGCCGTACGAGAAGGGTCTCGGGGTGGCTAACATTGGGGGTGGGCCTAATTCTGTTGGGCATGGCAGTTTGCTCCATTACATCCCACCCCACACTGTGCCTCACCGCCCTCTGCAGATAGCCACGTTCTGCTTCTAAATAAGTTCAACATTGTGCCCCGGCACTGCCTGTTGGTCACGTCCGAGTTCCGGCGGCAGGAAGAGCTCCTGGATTTAAAGGATTGGTGGGCGACCTGGCGGGTCATGCAGGTGGGTGGGTGGGTGGGTGGATCTTCTCGCGGGGGCGCCGCAGCGGCAGGGGACAGTTAAGAGATGAGACAGTAGAGTAGCACAGGCCTGCACTGTGGCAATGCGTGCAGAGTATGCCCCATGGCGCTCTTGGGTTTTATAACAGCGGGCCCTCATCAGGTGTGCGGCTGACTGCCTGAATTCAGCAACCTGTGTGGTTACAGCTATGGGCGCCGATGCCTCGCCGCTGTTTGGGACCGGCTGCAGGAGCTAGTCAGCCCCACAAGCACATTCAAATTGTCCCGTTGCCCCTGGACGATTCTGAGCGCAGCAGCAGCAGCAAGGCAGCACGTCCCCCCATCTGGCCGGCAGTAGCAGCAGCCACCAGTGAGGTTGCGCCGGGGTGCCCAGTGGAGCTGCGCAGCCTACCCTTTGCGGGCTTTGCTGCAGCCTTGGATGTTCCTCAGGCGGGCGATGCCGGCGCGTACCTTGCTGGTTGCTACCAGGAGCTGCTCTCCTGTTGCCGGACATTCGTGGAGGGCAAGACGGGGCGGCGTGTTGACGTGCTGGATGGCAGCCTGTCATACAACTTAAGTGGGTGATGCACGTTGTTGCCTGTGCCCTTGGTCACCTCCTGACCATTCATGCATTCACGTATGACGAGCGCTTTGATGTACCTGTGATCTGCTCCAATCTTGCACGCCCTCCACCCCCAGTTCTGACGACGGAGTTCATGCTTCTGGTACCGCGGAGGGCAGAAGGCGACGGTCCCGTCAGGTGCCTGCTTTGCGGGGCTGACTCGGCTATTGTGCAGCTTCACGCAGCCTGCACCCTGCATGGCGGCAATGGCGTCCCTCTGTCGCCCCGCCTGCCATCCACGCTCTGCAGCTGCAACGCGGTTGCCTTTGCTGGCAGCATCTTTGTCAAGAGCCTTGAGGAGCAGCGCTATGTCGAGCAGAGGAAACCACTACACATCCTCAGCGCAGTGGGGTTTGAGTGGTGAGCCTGAAAGTGAACTGGATGTAACATGCTCAAATGCGAAGAGGGAGAGGGCAGCAAAGGAGAACCAATCATTTACTGGGGGAGAAGGGGTAAAATGCAAGTATGTATGAAAGAGCTGCAAAACTGTAGCATGCAGGGCAAGCTGCGGAACAGCAAGGCATGACGTGGTAGCCACCGTGCGCCCCAGCCGGCTAAGGTTGCTGGCCTGCATGGCTGAGATCCCCTCTGCTATTGCTGCGGCTGTGGCTGCCCATGATGGCGCTCAGATGGGCTGAGCTGGCACCTGAAGCGGTGAAACCATTCGGGGCGCCCGTCAGCTGCAGCTGCACCCCATCAGCACGTCCTTTCAGGCGGTCACGGCCAATCACCGGCACCTGCTGCAGAAGCCGGTCCTTGATCGACTTCTGGCGCGCCTGCGGGCAGTCGGCATGCAGGGGTGGGTCAAGTGTACTCGGCGGTACGCCTGTCTTTGCATGATTGGGGCAGGGTCGGGCCTTGCGCGAGGCAGGGCACGCCCAGTGGCGGCAGCGGTGCCGCCATGCATGCCAGGCAAGGACCCTTACCCGCAGCGCAGAACGCATTGCATACCACACGGCACCCGCCATGCTGACCGTCAGCCCTGCAGCGTTCCATGGCTCGAAGATAAAATCGCCAAAGGAAAAGGCGCCCACAATCGTCATGATCGCATTCTTCAAGTTGCCTGCAGGCCAGCAGGTGGGCGACGGTGCAGAATGGCACGATGCCTCCCAACTTGCCCATCCCACAACTGCTCCGCCCGCAGGCCCCGCTGCCCTGCACGCCCCCACCCCACCCCAAAGCCCACCTGCTACCGAAGTCATAAGTGGCTCATTGACACGGGTGCACACAAAGGTGGAGTGGTTGATGGTGAGGCCTAGCGCTGATGAGGCCAGCAGCACCATCTGGAAGGTGCGGTGCCAGAGCATGGGGTAGCCAGCCATGCCGCCAGGCTCCCCTTTGAGCACCACCGCGCACAGCAGCATTGGAAGCGACAGCATTGAGTTGTAGAACAACATGCCAGTGGTGCTGCGTGGCAGTAGTTGGGGATCGGGTTGGGGCCAGGTGGCGGGGGCCAGGTGGCGCGGCAGTGAGCTGAGGTTGCCGGCGCAGCTGCACCGTGGTGCCCAGCATCAAAAGCAGCATCTGCAGTCACTGCACCTGAGACCGTTGGTGCCGGGCGTGTTCTTGACCATGATGAGGTAGAGAGAGGTGAGCAGGTCGTTGCAAAGAACGGCAGCGTAGCCGCGCGGATTGAAGCTCAGGTCGGTGGCTGCCGCTATCAGGGCGCCTGTGCGGCGCAGTGACAGCAGAAGCGTGGTGTCAGTCACCGGCGGACAGGCTGCTGAAGCAAACTGCCGAGCACTAGCAGAGTGGGGCAGCAGCAGCAGCAGCAAGGGGCAGCTGTAGCTCGCCTCCAATCATGATGCCCATGGCGCTGAGCGTGGGCCAGTCGTGCGTCTTCTTCAGCCAGTACCGTTCTAACAAGATGGTGAAAAGCAGCGTGAAGCGACGCAGTGCGATGAACATGGGCACGTTGAGGCCCGCAGTGCCTGCACCGCGTGTGGCAATTTGGGGGTGGCGCGGTGCGCTGTAGGCTGGGTGACAGCAGGGCCGGGTTGCTGGCATGATGTCGAAAAGTCCTGCCACCCCCTGGTCAAGTGTCAATGGCTGCAATGGGCCGCCTGGCCGCCCAGTGTGAGCGAGGCAGCGCTGCGCTGCTGTGCAGGCCGCGGGAAGCGCGACATTTCGAGTCTCACCTATCAGGCCACACACCACGTTCATGACATTGACCATGGCAAGCGGCGCCAGCTGCCTGACCAGCGCAATGTTCAGCTGGGGCCGGGCCACTAGATAGCTGACCGGTGCGATAAAGGCCATCTGCAGCAGTGCTACTGTCAGCGGGTAGTGGAACCCGAAATTGGTGAAGACGGCCTGCAGCCAGCGCGCGCAACGAGGTGGAACATCGCTATCGGCATGCCAAGCACGAGCAGTTACAGCGCGGTCCTCTGCGCACAGGCAACAACTGCCTTGGATGAGCAGCAGTTCCCGCAGGCAGGTCTGGAAGGCCCTTCGCCGTGATACAGCCGCAATGGCGGCGGCGACCGGCAGCACCGGCGGCCGTTTGACTGTGGCAGGTTTGCTGGACCTTTGGCGGCGCTCAGTCATACGCGCCACGGCTGCGTAGCTGTGAGAAGCAGCGCTGACTTGCCTTAGTGGTGTATTGAACCAACATGGAGCTTGACATGAAGTAGAGGACTGCTAGTAGCCGCGTGAGCGGCGGATGCTCCACCGGCTGCCCGTCCGCCATCCTGCTGCTCCTTCGCTGCCCCCGGTTGCTTGTTGGCAACTGTCCAACACAGCCCCTTCTTCAAATCAGACCTGGTGGTTGCCTGGCGGGGGCCAGACGCTTCTTTTGATCGTGCTAGATGAGCAATGTGGGTCTGTCCTGCGTGGCACACGTCACCCTCGCTCTCCAGACCTGCTCTAAAGAGCTCTTCTTCTGGACTGGCACCAGCTGTTAACCACTGGGAGCCTGCCCGATCCGAATGCTGCTGTGTGCAGTCCCGTCCTGGTGGTGATGCCGGTGCTGCTTGGTGTTCTGGTTGGCTTGCTCTGGGGCTCCACCAACGCATTCATTGCCAAGGGAGTGAGGATCGCTGCAGCGCGACCTACCAAGCGCTGCACAGGTGGGGAGCCACGCTGCCGCCATCGCGGGCCGCCACCGCCTCTCGCTGGCATATAGTCCGTGGGCTCCCACAGCTGCTACTGTTGGTCACTCTCCCTACCGCACACTTCTCTGCTCTCTGCTAAAACCCACCACGCTCTCGCAGGCCTTGCCCCGCTAGACACACTGTTGCACCACCTTCTCACGCCGACCTTCGTGGTGCCGCAAGCCCTCAACCTTTGCGCCAGCGTGCTGTTTGCAGCAACGCTGGGCAGCAGCAACGTCAGCATCACCGCGCCTGTCGCCAACGGTGCGTACAGATAGCAAATGCATGTTGTGCTGCGCATGAATGTCCCAGCAATTGTTGAAGATTGACGAGCCGTTCGCCCGCCCGACGCCCAGCAGGCGTGAGCCTGGCGACCAACGCCGCATTTGACCACCTGCTGGGCGATCGGCTGAGCCGCCCCAGCAGCGGCATCGCAGGCCTGCTGCTGGTGTTTGTCGGCATCCTGCTGTGCACGCTTGCTCAGCAGCAGCAGCGGCAGGAGTAGGGCCAGCATGGCGGACCAGCAGCAGCAGCCCTTTCCGCTGGGTGCTGTCATCCAGGATCAGGACATGGGCACCCTCCCTGCTCCAGTGCCACAGCCATCTAGTGCGAGCAGCGGGGCCAGAGGCCGGGCTGCCATGGCAGACCTGGAGGAGGCGCTGGGGCTGGCGGCTGCTTATTTTGGCGGCGATGCTACGGCGCTGCAATGGGCGGCGGCACCTGACAGCAACAGTCCTCCTGCCTCTCCTGTGGGCATGCTGCCAGCGGATGACCCTTATGACCAGCATCACCTGGCGCGTGACTTGAGTCTGCGGGGAAGCTGGCATGAGGAACAGGACCCGCTACCACAGCTGTCTAGTGGCCAGGAGGAGGGGCCGCTGTTTGGGCTGGATGCAGAGGATGCTGGCCTGCTTGGATCCAGCCTGAGCACTGGTTGGGATGCCGCTCCTGCTGCCGCCCCTGGCGCCAGCCAGTGCGGCATGTTAGCCGCCGAAGTGGCGCAGGGCATGCTCGGGCTGCAGCTGGACGACATTGATGTAGAATCGCAGGATGTGCTGGCTCCAGGTGCGTTTCGTGGTCGTAGACGTACGAGATGGGGCGGGCGCTGCGGCGCTGGTGTGGCCGATGGCGTTTCACGTTTTGCAGCTGGCTGAGCACAATGGCCAATATCCCATCAGGTGCTCTGTGGCTGCTGCTGCAGGTGCTGGGCCGCTGTCCCTGGAAGCAGCGCTGGCTCAGGGTGGAGCTCTGGTGCCTGAATTTGCGCCGCCGCCCATCTTGTCCACGCCCACCGACCTCTTGGCAGCCGAGACAGATCCAGTGGGCGCCCTGGAGGCAGCCATTCAAGCTGACAAGCCCAAGTGAGTGTGTTAGGCAGCATGCACATGGCAGCCAAGCGATACCTGCCCTCCGCCTCAGCAACGCTTGGACTGCGGTTTGGCAGCAGCGGTTTGGCACGGCCAAAAGCCACGAGTCGTTCTGCTGCTCCCTCTCTACCGCAGGTTCAAGCCCAGCCCGGAGTGGGTGAAAATGATGGAAGCAGTGAAGGACGAGCTGGAGGATGTAGCGCAGCAAGGGAAGCCTGCGCTGTTGGAGAGGCCTGCGCTGCTGGAGACGCTTGCTGAGACGTTAGAGGCGGGTGGCCATGGTGCAGCCAGCGCCTGGCAGGTTGACATGGAGGCAGATGTTCGAGACCTGGGCATCAGCGGCGCTGGGCATGATGCCGCTTCTGACATGCAAGCTATGCCGGCGTTTGGGCTATCGCCGCAGCAGGAGCAGCAGCCACGGGATGAGGACATGGTGGGCGGAAAGGATCGCGCCGATGCAGCTTGTGCAGGTGACTGCAGCCTCTGATTGCCTTTGCTGTTAGCATGTTTGCTTTTCTTTCCCAACCTGAGCTTTCAACATTATTTGCCTGCTCATATGCCCACTTGGCGAGGCTGGGTTAATGTGCCGATCTGTGATGCACCAATGGGACATTAGTTTCCTTGCGGAAAGATTTGTCAGCTGGGTTTTTGGCGGCAAAGGTCACTGGCCCTGCTTGCATCAAACGTAGCTGTGCATCAAGTGTAGCTGTGCTATCGTGCATCGCACTCCTCTCAGCTGAGTGGCCGCTCTTGCTGCTGCTGATGCCGCCTCCAGGAACGGCAGCTGCTGCCGTCGCTGAAGAGCTTCCAGCACTACCCCCGCCACTGCCACCCAGTGCAACCAACCTGGAGCACGAGCGCCAGCGCGCATTTGCCTTGCTGCAGCCCATCTGCTCGCTGCTGCTGTTGCAGCGTTCTGACTCACATCACTTGTCTGAGCTGCTCTCTGGTGAGCAGCCATGGGATGACACGTTACGTTGAGCCGCGCCCGCATCTTCGCACCACGGCGGCCCCGCGTCTCAGCTGACGCACAGCTTGCCTCCTCTTGCGCAGCGCTGAAAGCGGTGCTGCAGGAGGTCTCCCAGCGAGGGCTGCAGGAGTGCCTGGACTACGTTCTGTTTCCCTTGTTCATGATGCTGGAAGCTGTGGCTGCTACCCGCCAGAATGCCCATCAGCAGCAGCCACGTGTCGGAGCATCGGGAGAAGCAACACAGATCGCATTGCCCGCCATGGCATCCGACCGTGCCGCAGAGGCAGCGCTGGGCTGCATGCTGTGTTTGTTGCGCCGCTGCAGCTGCCAGTCTGGCGAGAGCCTGCTGGGCCTGCTGCGCCGGCTGGCCAACATCCTGGAGCTGACGGCAGGCTTGGCATCAGAGGAAATTAGGCATCAGGTGCGGCCATGCAACAGACATTGAGCCTGTTTAGAGCTTTGCACAATAACTCGTTTGGGGGGGGGGCTGGCTGGGTGTGTTCTTTGCCTTCGGCGAGCAGGAAATGTGGATTGGTGCCCTGTATGAGAGGCAAGCATAGACTGCCACAAAAGCTTCTTCTCCCACAACCACTTGCCTTCCTTCCAAATGCAGGCGCTGCTTTGCGTTTATGCAGTGGCGGAAGGCATGGTACAGCGGCAGGCACCACTGGGGGTGCGTGAAGCACTATTGGAGGAGCCGGCAGCACCACTACTAGGTTACCTGTTGTCACTAACGTTGCGGGTAAGGTTCAATTGCCAATGCCACCTACGTGCCCAGCTGTCCTGCCTCTCATTGCGCGCATGGCTTTGAGCCTGCCTCACAATTCTATTGTCGCCCCTCCCTTGCTGCGGCAGATTGCTGAGACCGAGATACAGAGTGGCAGTAGCGGCAGTGGCACCATCCGTGATACAGCATTACAGGCCCTGCAGCAGCTGCTGACAGCAGTGGTCCACCCTGCGCAGCTGCAGATTGCAACCGCTACGGAGGCGCACCAGGCAGCAGCAGATGCGCTGGCCTTTTTTCTGCCCGGCATCGCCGTGGGGCTGTGCAAGGTGCTCTTATCAGCAGGAACCAGCAGCAGCAGCGTTGGCAGGGTCGGGGCACCGTCACGACCAGCAGCCAGCAGCGCCGCGGCCGTGGCCGCAATGCAAGCACTTGTCACCCTGCTGGTGGCCTGCTTGGGCGACACCGTAGTGCAATCTGCACTGCATGGGACTGGAGATAGCGCGGTTGCCAGCAGCATTGACGGCAGAAGCTGGCAGCATGTCGACAAGCCACACGCTTTCCCGAAATCTGGCAACAGCAGCAACGAGTTGCTGCAGCAGGCAATGCAGCAGCTGCAAATGCTGTCTCAACAGTCGAAGGGCATCAGCAGTAGCGGCTTCAGCAGCAGCAGGGTATCTACGGGCACAGGACGAGCCATACCTGAGCCGCAGCAGCAGCAGGGACGCATGCGCGTGAACAGGAACGCCGACTGGGTGCATGACAGTGCCTGTCGGCTGCATGAGTTGCTTTCCACAACGCTCCCACCGCTGCGGACACATCAGCGACCTACAGTCAGAGAAGCCCTTGCCCAAGGTGGGTGGGGTGCGGTGTGGGGTGGGTGGCGTTGGTGGTTGGGGTGGAGTGGGCTGGGTGTAGAGGCCCACCGGGCCCCCGCGGGCAAAGAATGCGGCGCCGCAGCTGGCTGGCTTCAAACAAGCTAGTGAGTTTGTGCGTCCTGCTCTTCTCATCTCGCACGCTGCATAACTATTGTATCCTGCAGGCTGCTGCCGGCTGCTGGACTGCTGCAGCAGCGCGTTACAGCCACAGACGAAAGAGAATATGTTGCAGCTCCTGCTGTCCGTAGCGCAGGACGAGTGGCACGATGTTGCTGCCCCCGCTCGTATTTGGCTGGAGAGGCAAGCCGCTGTGGCGGCATCTAGTAGTGCTGACCTGTCCACAGCAGCTGAAGCAGCAACCAGCAGTGCCTTTGCTGCCACAGCCGAATGTCTGCTGCTACGGCTGATTGATCAACTGCCTACCGCCCTTCGCTCCGGGGACGTGCCAGCCAGGCAGCACGCCCAACAACTGACGAGCGCTATCCAGGCAAGTTGGTGCTTCCTGGCAGGTGCAAGCCTTTCCCTGCGCTGCCACGCTCACATGTACTCTGCTCATCACAGCAGAGTGGCGTAATTCTCCCTCTGGGGGGTCATACCCCCTTTGCTTTTTCTTATTGGGAACAGAGCTGCTTCCCAAACATTTGCATGCAGGTGTGCAGCCCCGCCTGGTTTGCCGCTAGCGTGGTGCACCACCCGCTTCGCTTGCACAAGCTGGTGTCGGCCTTTCTGGAGGCCTTTGCTTTCGATGCCTCTGTGGCAGGCATGCTTCTGTATGCCGCAGCCGCACCCAGTGGTAGTGCCGCTAGCTATGCGCCTGGCTCACGAGCCGAGCAAGCAACAGCAGACAAGGGTGGCAGCGGAACATCAGCCGTCGCAGAGCAGCTACAGCATGGTGCTGGACGGCAGCTGACGGCGGATAGCACCCATGGATCGATGGTGCTGCTGCCACGCATGCCATTGGGCTTGGTGCTTATCACCACGACAGCCACCTATGAAGCCGTGGCAGCAGCCCTGCGTGCTGCGGCTGCTCTGGCAGCCGCGGCAGATGCTACTCCTGGCAGCAGCGGGACAGCGCTGCGTGGTCTGTTTGACAGCTGCTTGGACAGCCTGAGGCAGGCACTTGCTGCTGCTGCTGCCAGTGGCAACGCGCAGCGATGCGACCAAGGGCATAAGGGCAGCCTGCTGCCATCGCGAGACAGGTCAAATGATGCGCAGGAGCGCCCGGACGAGCTGGCTGGCTTGCAGCAGACACCATGGCAGTTGCGGGCCGCCTCGGTGGCCGCGGTGCTGGCTGAGCTGCTGCTGGGCGCCTCACCGGCATGGCGGCCGAGCTGGCATCTGCCTGCCAATGTCAGCGACACCAGCAGCACCACCGAGCTGGAGGTGCTTGCAGCATTGACAGTGCAGGAGCTGGTGCAGGATGGCATTTGGTCCCTGCCCACAGCAGGGAATGTGAGGTCACAGACGGAGGCAGCCGCTTCCCATAGCAAGCAGCTACTGCTTCAGGCCAATGACAGCAGCGCCCCCCAGGAACAGCAGGCGACAACGCAAACGCGGGGCTGCAATGCACTCCTCGTCAAGGCAGCCTTGGAGTGTTGTGGCACTGCTGCCAGGGCCCTGGGCCTCCGCTTTGCACAGAATGGCCGGCTCCTTCGCGCCACGCTGCTGCCAATGTTGGAGAAGCTGGGTGAGTTTCAGCAGTTGCCTGGCAACTTTGTGTCACATCCATAATCCATATGCTTGCATTGCATTTGCGATGACATACTGCTTATGCCCTGCTCGCTGTTGTCACTACGTGCCATGCAGCCGACAGCACGCAAGTGGTCGCCTCCGCAGCCTCAGCTGCAGTTGGCAGCGTATGTTGGTGTTGCGGATTTGGCGGCAACTTGCGTCACCTGGTGGCTGCCAATGCTGACTACGTGGTTGATGGCTGCTGCGCGCAGCTGAGGCAGGTGCGAGCATCAGCCCCCTGCAACTATGAATCTGCCTGTACTGGAATAAGCTCTCTGTTTGGCCCTGTTGTTCCTGGCTTTTAAATAAGGTCGTTGAAAACACCACATGGGGCTGCCTTATTCTACTGCAGCTGGACGTGCACCCCCGCGCGCCCCAGCTGTTTCAGGCACTGCTGCAGCAGGCAGGAGCTGCGCCGCAGCTCTTGCCACTGCTTGCAGAGCCGGCTCGCAACGCTGTGCAAGTAAGCCTGCACGATGCTGGGTGGAAGGCGGCCGCTTTGAGTCTGGGGCTGTGCTGCCCAGCTCTTTGTTGCTGCCCGTCCCACCCTGACCTCTGTAGGGCCTGGGCATCTTGGCGCGTCGCCATCAGCAGCAGCATGTGCTGGCCTTCCTTCATGTGTTGCTATCTGTGGCAAACGCGGCGGAGGCCGTGGCTCACCAGGCTTTGGAAGAGATGCGGCAGGTGGCACAGCAGGTGCAGCAGCGATGGGACGAGCGCGAGCGAGAGCAGGAGGAGGCAGCAGCTGCGGCGGCAGCTGTAGGTGGTAACAGGTTTGGTGCTGCCAGCCAGGAGGAGATTTGCCGCTACTTTCAGCGCCGGCTCGAGCAACAAGACAGGGAGGGGCATCCACTGGAAGCCATGGAGCGAGGTGTGGCCCCTTGTGGCAATGCAATGGCAGTGGCAACCTCTACCCTGACATGAGCCATATCGGCACTGCAGCTGATGCACTTTATGAGCCTCTGTTTATGATGCAGATGAGGAGGCGGCGAAACTTGGGATGAGCTGCGCCGAGCGGGAGCACATATCATTGCTGCGTCGCCACCTGCATGCCGCTGGTGGCCTGGCGCAGGTGGTGGCGGACGCCGTATCTCCATTGGCAGTGGCACAGTCCTTACAGGTGGGGAAGCCCCGCGCTGGCATAGGGCAGTTGACCTGTTGTGGGCTGTTGTCACCCCGCCTACATGTCCCCACGGACAGATGAACTTGCAGCTGACAGCTTTCTCACAGCTGGTTCTTGCCTCCCGGGAGCTGCCTTGCTCACGTCAGAACCTGCCTGGCTGTTTTCACTGCAGGTTGCAGTACAGTCATTTTGCGTGTGCATCCACGCACTGCGGGGGCTCGCGGCAGTCACAGAAGCGGTGGAGCTTGATACAAACAAGGTCAGGGCTGGCCCATCGTCAAGCTTTGCGCTCCCAATGCTTGCACTTAACCCACATGGCCGCCACTGTCCATTTACTTTTCAAGAGCGGAGCCTCAACTTGCAACATCTTGCCCTGCCATCAGATCCAGCTGCTGGTCAGCAAGGGAGACAACCTTGTCACCCCTCACCCCAACACACCACGCCTGCTTCCCAGTGTGCACCTGGCTTGGACTCCGCTCATAGGAGCATTGCAGGTCCGTTGGTTGCCTGCCAACTCTGCTCGTTTCATAGCTACATCATCATAATCTACTTCCCCTGCCCTGTCTACTGCACCAGGATTGGCGCATCTCGGTAGTCGAGGCGGCACTGGAATTCCTTAGTGATTGCACGTGCCTCGCAGGTGGGCTGTTTGGCATGCAATTACTTGATATGTGTGCATCATGGTGCTGGGAAGGCCAGACATCTGATATGCGGGCGGCTGCGGCTGTCTGATGGGCGATTCAGGCCCTCCTTCGTGGATAAATCACGCCCCTTTGGCAATATGCAGGTTCATTCCTCCGCAAACGTTTCTCGCAGGATGCGCTTCCTGTGCTGCAGCGACTCTTGCGGGAGGGCCCTGCCCGCCGGAACCTGATTGCCCCAGGCAAGTCCTCCCAAGGAATGATATTGCATTTGGCATCATGCTTGCTTGTGAAACAGCTGCCACCCTTTGGACTTGCATGTGATGTTGTTGCAGGCCAGGATGATGTCACCTCTCCGGCCACAGTACAACGAGCACAGCTGCAGGCTTTGAGGTTTGTAAACAGGAGGCCATTGGCCTACAGCAATCCGGCGTGTCAAGCTGCTGGGAGTCGAGTCAAGCTTGAGGTGTTCCCAACGTTGCTTGAGGCGTGCCCAATCCGTTGCAGGTGCCTGGACAAGATTGCAAGCTGCGATGTTCACCTGGCTATTGCTGGTGTCAGCAGCAGTGCCCGCGAAGCTTTGCTACCATCGGCGCAGGCGCTGCTGGCAGCTGTGGGCGACATGATGGGTGCCTGCCAGCCGCCGCCAGTGCTGGAGCAGGCCACACTTGTGAGTTGCTTCCTTGCTTGTATTTTTCGTCAGTGGTTCCAGTGCCCGTGCACTTAAAATGCCCTGGAACCACCAACAGCGATGCGTACCCCTCTCTTTTTGCAGACGTATTTGTCTCTAGCCAAAATTGACCCTGACGCAGCATGGTGTCAGCTCAGCACAGCTCTTGACTCCCGTCCATCAACGGCGGCTGCAACTCACCCGGCAGATGTACCTGTTGGGATTCTGCTCAAAAGCAGTAGGCAACAGCTGACCTTCCCTGACAGACAACAGATTGCGCTGCCACCAGCTGGGACTGTCACGCCCTTGGGGCTGAGAGAGTGCAAGACAGGCAAGCTGGAGGCGATGATTCGACAGGTGGAGCAACTGCAACCTAAGTGGCACACTTATGTGAATTTCTAACCAACCTTTTAGTCGGAAGGCATCATTGTAACACATGTTACCAACCGTGGCACCGCTCGTCGACTTGACTTACAGAGCGGATTCGGAGCCGGCGAGGTTCATTCCAGCGGCGTAATTCTTTTTCCAGGATATGCTCTTACACATTGGTTGTGGGGACACCAATGCAGCGTGGAAACGGCCCAAAGGCCCTAAAAGTGATACCAGATTCGGGCAAAGGTAACACACGCGGCGCAGCAGGCAGCGGGCGGTACGGTGTCCCCGCCACCGCCCGACATCGAGCTGGACAGCGACATCACTGGGCTGATATGGTTGCACTGAAGAGGTTATGTCCTAGCAGTGCCAGCCTGGGCCGTTGCAAGCGGTGCTAATCAAGGCTGGCGGGGATACACTTACTGTTGATAGTGGGGCGGTGTATCCCGCGTGGTTGTTCACGTGGTGCTGGTCTGGTGACTCTGTGGGGCTGTGTGTGTTACACACAGCTATTAGTGTCGACAATGGGAACGTCTACACAATCTCCGCTAGTCACACACCACCATGTCCCTAGCGGCGCACGCGCGCCGCCCTCGAAGAAAGCGGCTCCGCCGCCTCTGTCGCCGCCGGGCCCTGCCCTGCCGTCTGCCGTCTCGTCGCCCAAACTGTCTGCTGTCCCCGGAACACTGGCTGCCGCTCTCCCTGCGGCGTACTCGCTGCCGCCCTGCGGCGGCCATGTGGTTGCTGCGCCGCCAAGCGAGCGGCGCACAGCCACCCCGAGCCAACCTCTAATCTCTGCCGCCGGCCTAATCCTGCCGGCCGACGGCACAGCCCCTGCGCCTGCGCTGCAGCCAGCCGCCCCAGCTGCGCGCCGACCTTGGATACTGCGCCGACCTTGGATACCTTTTGGATGGTCAAAATCGTACCCAGGTGACCCTAACTTTTTCCCATTTGCCATGACCTTCGCATCGAACGGGAACGCTATTTGCCAAAGGCCATCCAGGCCCCCACCCATGAACGCACCTGCCTCTTGTGTGCTTCTCCCGCCATTGAAGACGAGACCCATATGGTTTTCCACTGCCCCATTTACGACCATCTGCGCTTTGAGTACGCAGATCTCTTCCCCCCTGATTTGCCCACGTCCATCCCATGCTTTTTGTCCCAAGACCAGAATAGAGTTGCTTCATTTATCAATGACTGCCATGTTTCACGCCGCCACAATGCGTGTATGAGCCTCGCTGGCTCCGAATCCGCTCTGTAAGTCAAGTCAAGTCAAGCTGGGTGTTACTGGGAGGTGCTGCTGTTGGCTGATGTTGCTGGCTGCTACTGGCTGCTGCTGGCTGCTGCTCTCGGGCTCCGGCTTGGTCAGCGCCGGCTCCAGGGACTGGCGAAGGTAAGCTGCTGCTGCGCGCTCCACCACGGTCTTCTCATCCAGCTCCGTCAGCCACACGATCGTTCCGCTGTCCGTGGGTGCCGACAGCAGAAACTGCTGCCAGCGCCGGCACCAGCAGGGCGAGCCGGCGGCGAGATCGGTCCCCTCGCGCATCAGCGCCAGGGTGTCCTCAAACGCCCAGGCCAGGACCCGGTCCGGCTCGGCCATGCTGGCTTGCAGGCGATTCCAGAAGCGCACCAGCTGCTGCACCCAGAACAGGTGCAGCGGCTGACGGCCCAGCTCCGCCAGTGCCACCGCTGAGGACACTTGTCGTGGGAGCCCTTGGATCCGCCTGCAGAACCAGCGGTGCACACGTTCTACTGAGGAGCAGTCTGCCCTATTCAGCATGTCAACCCCCCACACCTCGCAGCCATACGACAGCACGGGCTTGACAAACACATCAAACAGCATGCTCTGCTGTTCCACCAGGCTGACTCCCAGCTCCCAGGCTCGGCGGCGAGGGTTTTTCATGGGTCAAAATTGTACCCAGGTGACCCTCACTTTTTCACTGAAAATCGTACCCGCATGACGTCACATGACTCACATTTTGGTGGTGGTCTGGGAACGCCCTCTTTGATGGGCTCTGGGGGTTTTTGACCCTGCTGATTCCGATTCTGCACTTCAAATTACCCCCAGGGCCCTCCCCGTGCCCGAAAACGGCCACCTGGCAGCAGGCGCGTGGCGGCGCCGCCGCTCCCGCCCGCACCGCTGCCCTCGCCTGCTGCCACCTCTCACCCATGCCTCTCCTGACCCTCCCGCTTGGCCTTCCCCGTCATTACACATCCCTTGGAGTGCCACAGCAGCGATGGAGCCAGCCTGCACGCCAGGATAGCACATCTGCTGCTCCTTCACCGGGCAGCACGTCGGCGTCGGCGGCGCTGCAGGACCCCCTGCTGTCAGCCATGCTGTCATGCTCGGTACAGGCCCTTCCAGACCCTCCCACCTGCCCTGCCCCATCATTACACATCCCTTGGAGTTCCAGAGGAGCGGTGGAGCCAGCCTGCACCCCAGCATGGCACAGCAGCAGCTCCTGCGGTGGCGGCGTGGCGGCGGCGGCGGCGCTGCCGGACCCCCCACCACCAGCCGTGCTGTCATGCTCGGTACAGGCCCTTCCAGACCCTCCCACCTGGCCTTCCCCATCCTCACACTTCCCTAGAAGTGCACGTGGCAGGTCAGGGCCAGACAGCCCCCCAGCGTGGCATGGCAGCAGCTCCTGTTCCGGGAATCAAGCTTGGTTGTTGCTGCCACCTAGCTGCCGCTACCCGAGCGGCACCGCATGCTGTCCAGCTCTGGTGTGAGCTGCTGTGCTGGTGCCATCTGGCCTGGGGCTCGGTATTGATGTATATGAAAGCCTGGGATGCTGAGTTGGTGGATAGCATGCAGCAGAGGCCTGGCCTGAGCATGACAACATGGCTGGTGGCATGGGGTCCCGCAGCGCCGCCGCCGCCGACGTGCTGCCCGGTGGAGGAGCTGCTGCTGTGCCATGCTGGGGTGCAGGCTGGCTCCACCGCTCCTCTGGAACTCCAAGGGATGTGTAATGATGGGGCAGGGCAGGTGGGAGGGTCTGGAAGGGTCTGTACCGAGCATGACAGCATGGCTGACAGCAGGGGGTCCCGCAGCGCCGCCGACGCCGACGTGCTGCCCGGTGGAGGAGCAGCAGTTGTGCTATGCTGGCGTGCAGGCTGGCTCCACCGGTCCTGTGACACTCCAAGGGATGTGTGATGATGGGGCAGGGCAGGTGGGAGGGTCTGGAAGGGCCTGTACCGAGCATGACAGCATGGCTGACAGCAGGGGGTCCCGCAGCGCCGCCGACGCCGACGTGCTGCCCGGTGGAGGAGCAGCAGTTGTGCTATGCTGGCGTGCAGGCTGGCTCCATCGCTGCTGTGGCACTCCAAGGGATGTGCAGAATCGGAATCAGCAGGGTCAAAAACCCCCAGAGCCCATCAAAGAGGGCGTTCCCAGACCACCACCAAAATGTGAGTCATGTGACGTCATGCGGGTACGATTTTCAGTGAAAAAGTGAGGGTCACCTGGGTACGATTTTGACCGTCCAAAAGGTATCCCAGAAGCCCTGGTGGCTTTGGCTCATAAGGAGAAAAGAAAAACAAAAGGAGAAAATGCAGTAATGAAGTTGGTCGAAATAGGGGTAAGATTCGATTACCTGATGAGGCAAAAAGGGGATATATCGTTTGCGGTACAAATGCCCCCTCCATTTGACCCGCACCATTTGACCCGCATGCCAGTTTTTTTTAAAGGGCTTTTGGGGCCTCTCCTGCCTCCCTAGGGGGTTTTAGGGGGTGGGGATCACGATTCTGCACTCAAAACTGGCCTGGGAGGCCTCTACATTGGTGCAATTGGCCACCTTGGGCGGCCTGACAGCCACCGCTGGCGCTGCCGTTCCCTCGCTGCGGAACGGTGCTGCCAAGGTGTTAAGTGAGGGAATAATG